GATATATCATATTATCCAAGTAACATGAATTGCTTTTATAATAGAAGTTTCAGAAATCCATACTTGGCGTCTCCTTTTAAAGCTTTATTGATATCTTGCGATTTCTGGGAAGAACTTCCATCTTCGATTTTTCTTCTTTTTTGAGGTGTTTGTTCTAAATCTCTTTGCATTCTTTCTTCTTTTGATAAGGCTTTAAAATCTGCGGATAAATTAAATATGGGACGTGCCCATTCGTTAATTAATTTTCCTGCACGTTCTTTATTTTCTTTAGTTTCTTTTGGGTGTTTGTAGAGATACATCACGGCTTTGCCAATACCAGACTGTTTTAGGGAAGATTGATCGATTCGTGGAAACTGAAATATAAATTTGATTATTTCATGCACTTGTACAAATGTATAAATGACGAGAGTATAAACTTACTTCCCACAAAAGTTTCAAAAGACTATCCCTAATTTTTAAAGACGGTAAGGATCGATCGGGCATCGGCGCTAACCAATCTGTTAAAACTGATAATACATTATGCTCCAAAAAGGCCAATTGGAGGTCGTGTTTTTTAAGTTGTGATAGTACTTTCGGTAACATAGCTATTTTATTAGTAGCTGGTATATTCTGTTGATTTAATTTTCTATCGTCTTCTGATGCATTTTTCATGTCGGATAATAATTGAGCTATAATGTCGTCGTTATCGTTAATTATATCAATATCCTTCCTTTTGCGTCTTCGAGATTGTTCTTCTTTCTTACGAGCCAACATACGATCGAAATCTGACAATGCATCATCTCTGAAAATTTGTTGTTCTTTTTAATTCCAACGAGCCATCAAAATTGTTTAATGTATATAAAAGTTACAATCAATCGTTAATACTGTTTCGTTGATACTGTTACTTACATATATCTGCTATTCCTGGTAGGCATACATTAAAGATTATGTATATTAAATTTTAAGATATACTTCTATAAATGTAACATATCTTCTTTTTTTTTTTTTTTTGTACTACACATGACTTTTTAAATATAATATCTAGTTCACTTACAATCCTCCTTCTGCAATAATTCCATCGTCGGAATCTTCGTTTTCTTGTTGCTGGTTAGTTGCACCATCCTCAAACTGTTTGCTTTGCGCTCCTTCACCCTCTTCCTCTTGTTCATCCCCATCTTTCTTTCTTTCCGTTACTTCATCGTCTGCTTCATTATCCGAATCTGTTATTCCGTGTTTCGTTTTCTTTATTGCCTTAACACCACCCTCTTCTTCTTCAGAATCAGATAGAACTCTATTTCTTTTTCTGACAGCGCTTTCAGAATCTGCACTGCGGCTTCTCGATCTTCTAGATTTTGAACCTGAACGAGATCTCGATCTTGATTTAGATCGCGACGAATGTCTAGATCGAGCAGCTGACACTGATCTTGATCGTGAACGTGATGGAGAACGCGATCGTGAATGTGATCTCGATGGTGAACCTGAAAGGGACCTCGAGCGGGATTTTGATTTTGACCGGGCTCTCGATTTCGACCGCGATCTCGACTTTGATCGTGATCCGGAACGCGATCGAGAACGAGACGCCTTCGAACTGGACCTAGAGCGAGATTTCGATTTTGATTTCGATTTCGAACGCGATCTTGATTTTGATCGCGATCCAGAATGTGATCGGGAACGAGACGCCTTCGAGGTGGAACGAGATCGAGATCGGGATTTAGACGATCTAGAGCTAGATCTAGATCGAGAACGAGAACTTTTCCTCGAATTAGGTGAACGTGATCCTTTTCGTGATCCCGATACAGATCTCGACTTTGATCTTGAAATTGATTTTCTGGAACCGGATCTTGACTGAGACCTAGACCTTGACCCACGCCTTGAACCTGACGGTGTCCTTGATTTTGAACGCGACTTCGTTACCTTAGGATCCGCTGAAGGTGATCTAGATAAGGATCCTTTCTGAGATATCGATGGTGACTGTTTTCTTGATTCAGATCCAGACCTGGATCGAGATCGAGATTTACGTTTGCCATCTGGAGTAAGCGACTTGGAACGTGAACTTTTTTGTGAACCAGGAGAATCTTTTCTTGGTCTATCTACCGATGGAGACTTTGATCTTGAACGTGATCGAGAATTTCTAATACGGGATGGTGAGTGGTTTGCTTTTGGAGAGGGAGAAACTGATCCTTTTTTCTCACGCAAAGGAGATCTCGATCTACTGTACGACTTTCGACTGGGACTATTCGACGGTGATCGAGATCGAGCTTGAGAAGATTTTTGTGAACCCGATCGAGAGCGTGATCTAACAGCTGCTTTAGGAGATCTAGAAGGAGAGCCGGAATTTGATCGAGAACGCGACTTAAAACATGCCGATGGCGAAGGCGATCTAGAACAAGAACGAGAATTCACTTTTGGAGAAGAACACTTGGATGGCGGGTTACTCCGTTTAGCTGACGTCGATCGGGATCTAGATTGCGAGTTTTCTCGAGATGCTGCATCAAAACTTTTTCTAGACTCTCCCAACGACGAACTTCTAGATCTTGATCGTGATTTTGCTGAACATACTGAACGAGGTGACTGTGATTCACTTTGAGTAACTTTTCCATCCGCTTCTGGTGATGGAGATTTAGAAGGTGATCTTGAAATACTTTTCCTTCCAAGAGATTTTGAACTAGATCTAGACGATCTTTGATTTTTCACAGAAGAAGGTGACGTCGATCTATTTCTTGAGGGTGAACGTGAAGGTGATCTAGAATACGATTTTCTAGAATTAGCATTGGAAAGTACAGAAGCTGGTGACCTAGGCTGTGCAGGTGATGACTGATTGGATCTAAAAAGAAGTTTAAAAATTACAATACAAATTGTACGTCATAATTATATAAGTAGAAAGATATAATTTTAAAACCTTGGAGAAGGACTAGCAGAATTAGATTTGGATCTACTTCCTGCCGATCTGTGAGAATCTACAGATGGACTTTTAGATTTTTCACGTTCTTCTTCTGATTCGCTTCTCTCTTCTGAAAAAGATTAGCACCGATTAGGAAAGTTCTATTGGTAATGTAAAAATGTTAGTTTACAAATTTAACAACATTTCTCAGTGTAGTATGAAATGATTAAAAATAAAAAAAAAACAAAGATAAGCAATTGAATTAGATCGGTATCACTTTTAATTTACGTTAAATCTTTATGTTTCTCATAAAACATTTCACTTTAGATGAAATTTAAAGAAATTTCAAAAATAAAATTTACCTTCACGATTCATTGCACTTATATACAAACAGAAATATACACCTTTTCAATAATTATTATTAATTATCTGGTTTACTAAAATAACAATTCCCGATAATTCTTCATCAAAGTCCTGCTAAATTATAAAAGAACTTTTTGTTTTTAACAATAAGTCAGAATTGACAAACATACTCGGGAAATATATTTACATTAAAATAACTTAAGAAATAAAGAAAATTTGCTTAAAATACGTGTGATTGGCCACTTTAGTTTTGACTTGCTACTTTGTTAGGTTAGATATTTAGAATCAACCAATCGTTATAATTCATAAATTGAACGCAATCTTTACCCATCTTACGCGACTGTATACGCATACTATACGCACACTATTATAATTTTATTATGAAATCATTAAACATGATTACTGTTGCCAGATAAAAATATCCATGCATTGTTAACGTATTACTGGAAAAAGTATTTGTACAAAGGACTGTTTTATAGATTGAAATCTATTAGAAGGAAGTTCGGATAAATGAATAAAAGTGAAGTGTTATTTAATAAAACTGTGGCGATATTGCTTTCTATTTGGTACATATTCAATGGTTGGGTCGAAATTTTCCGAAGACCACCGAGTATCCTCGATTGTGCTTAAAGAACAATATGGCGGCTGTAGCAAAGTTTTCGCCGCCCGTATGAGAAATTCGTGTTCATCAAGATTTAACAGTTCACGGTAAACGTTAATCGCACAGTAACGCTACGTAGGGTTACGTAGCTAAGATTGTGAGTGAGCATTCGTTCGTGTCGTGGCACGTCGAGGCAGCCCGATGCAGGTCGCGCGCAATTCTTGTAGCGCAAATCATGACTTCGATGCTGTCCAGCTTTAACCCGCCTATCGTTAAGCGATTGTTGGGTTGGAAAAAAGCCGAAGGAGAAGACAAATGGAGTGAAAAAGCCGTTAAAAGTCTGGTTAAAAAGTTAAAAAAGTCCACTGGCCTCGACGAACTCGAGAAGGCCATTACTACGCAAAGTTGCAACACTAAGTGCATTACTATACCAAGGTACGCTTACTTTATATACTTTTGCGTGTACATAAATATTGCAACTGATGCAGTAGGTATTTTGTACGTTTCTTATTATCAATTGTTCGTTCTCGCATCTATTTCACGATACGTATAGTGTCATTAGGAGGATTTGGCGAATTTCAAAGATACATTTATTTGTACGTTTCGTAGTGAAACTCAGAGAAATAGAAAGCGTTCGCGTGTGCTATTTGCCGTTGTTCATATTTACGTATCTATTACGTATTCGTGCGTATAATGTCACGACAGTTGTAATATTCATTGACAGTTCTTCTTACCGCCGATCTCTACGTACGAAAAACAATTTTCCATTCTTTTTTTCACGGATTTATCGTATCTAATATTTTTTTAAAATTTTCATATATCCCCCTGTAACGTGTTTACTGGAAAATGTTTTCCTTATAGCGTTACGATGATCTCGATTATAATTATCGTGGTCGACACACGGTTTAACATCGAAATAGGAAATTCGATAGTTGCGAACGAGCGAAGGTAACATGTTTATCGGTTCTTATTCCAAGTGTCGAGATTTCGAAGGGAGTGATATTTAACGAGTAGCTCGAAATTGTTGAGAAAAATTTCGTTTAACGTTGCGAGCTCTGAAAGTAATTGAAATTGAAGGAACTTTTGAAATCTGGAATAAGAGGAATTTCTATTCCTTGTGATTTGCTTCGAATTTTTAATGTACGCCATTCTCTTTCAGATTTCGTTTTTCCGTTGTCAGCTTTACTATAGCGTTAGCTGGTCTAAAATCACGCGAATGCTTATCTGCCCGCGTACACACGTTCTATTTTCACATGTCAGAGAATTCGCCTTGGTACTGTAGCACTTTTTTTCTTTTCGAATAAAAGAGTTGAGGGAGAAGAGAACGTTTTCTTCTCTCGGCTGATTACATTATCGTCGATCTTTCGCATTCTCAGTTACGGCGATTACAAGTAAAATAGTCACTGATTTGACACACGCATTAGAATAAAAGCAATATACGCGTTATCACGAACGTTTATTTATTTGTTTATTTTTTGTAGGTACTACACGATACGATACAGTGTACGATAGTTGCACATAGCGATTGCACATTGTTATCTTAGCAGTTATGTAATAATCTTAACGAAGATGCGATCGCAAAGAAATGGATAGGCGAACGATGCGTAATAATACTCGAAACGGAAGATCCGTGTAAACGAGATTCCTTTTCGTCGACATTCCGTGGTTCACGATCGAACCAAATCGACGATCAATATAAGCCAGCTTATCCCGTTTCGATCGCAATATGCGCTTGTCTGAATGAAAGACAGGCGTGTGTCACGTCGTTGCGCGATCCATCTTTTTACGTGAGAATTTCTTCCGCGAGGTTGCACGGTCGTCTACTACTTTTCGTTTAGTAACCAGCGTGCTAGAGACTCGTATATTCTTGATACACGTACATTGTATGTATCGTTGGTTACGCTTTTCGAATATGCTCAGGCGAGGATAATACGTGCACCGCGTACAGTTTCGGTCCTGGGCAATCCGCGTTTTGTCAAGCAGTTGTAACAAACGGTCGCACACGCGTAAATACAAGGGTTCTATCTTATCTGTGCGTTACATCACGTAAACTTTGTACATCGCGCGGCAAATAAAATCATACCTCTATAACTCTCTTTTCTTTTTCTTTTTGTCTTTTTTAATATACAACGTCGGGATATCGCGGCGAAATTGGAGATGCTGTTAACGAGTATTTGAAAAGCAGCCGAGATCAAGAAGAGGATTAGGATCTAGGATCAGGATGTGTACGCGAATAAAAGTTACAAGTGTCGGAATCGAAATCGATTGTAGCTCGGTACATAGCTCGTAACGACTTTATTAATAGTAATCCTAGCCACGTTGCCGCGCGCTCAAGGATATTCGGGGAAGAGAGGGAAAGTCTGTCATCGAGAAAGGCAGATCCTTCTGTAACGCGCGCTTGCCAACTCCGACCGATCGCAATTTCTCTCGTTCGATCGAGATCGCGCATAAGATATGCGTACGATATCATCCAGAAATTCGATTTGGTTCCAGCACCTGTCGCGGAGGCGACATCGTCGCCTGATTCGAGGAAATTATATTTTTTTTAAAAGAAGAAAAGAGAGAAGGAAGATGGTACGGTTTTTTTAATTCGTCGGAGAAAAGGAGATGCTTGTCCGATTGTTCGTGAACGTGTGAAAGAAGAACGGAACGTTTATAGTAGAGTAACGAGGTCAGAGCGTATTATTCGATAGAATTGTCCTATTTGGATCGTGGAATTACACGCATTATCGGGATATTTTCTGTAGTACCTAGGTTAATCGATGTTTACGTAACACAATCGATACGGCGACGAGTATTTATGTAAAAAATGAACGGCACAGATTTCACAGTAGCGCGGAGTTTTTTTTTCGTCGAAAGAATTATGTAAGTCTATGGTGTTTAATCGAAATCCATGGAACGTGATAATTTTTCCTGGGTGAAAAATGGAAATTTGTTCGGTAAGGCGACGAACAGCGCGCAAAAGCGTTTCATTTTCGTTCCGAGAAGTATTCTGGTTATCGGTGTAACATCGTGTGCGTATATACACACTTGAGAACGGAATCGGAGTAGCTCTCGCTCGAGAAGGTATATGATTTATCGCGTGGTGGCGTTCGTTTTTCTCTTCGCTTCTCTTTTCCGTCAACCGCTTTTCTCCGTCTCTCGTCGCGACATTGACCAGGCATCGGCTTCGCCTCTACGTACAGTCGCGTCGTTCAGATAGGAAAAATTGTGGATTAGGAGACACGCGTCTGCGGTGCGCTGCGGCGTGTGTACCTACATAGAGAGATAGAGAGATATCAGAGCCGGTGCAAATAAGTGCACAGCTCACGTACCGTCTATTTTCTTTCCTTTCTTCCTTTTTAAAAAAACGTGCGAGCACACCGCGTCTGGTTGTCGGTGCAAGCGACGATTAAACTCGATTAAGTCGCGACTCTCGTTTGATGCATACGTGGAAAGAATTTCGACTCTCTGTCCTCGCGAGTTACTACTGGAACGGTGGTTGGTGCGTCAGCAAGATGAGTGAAATTGCAGAAGAAACGAGACTGTGGTGGATCCGCCTCCCCTTATTCTTAGTGTCATTTGCGCGAAACACCCTCTTTCCTCCGGCGTAGAACCAACGATCCGCGTACAATTCCAATTGTACAGATCGAATCTGGATCGGTCGATCGTTGTTCGATAGTGGACGACGTTTCGACGTGGACGCCACACGGTCTCCTGCATACGGCCACCTTTCAAAACGGTCGATAAAACGTCCCCCCCCCTCCGCTGCCGATGGATACACAATCTTCGGAGTTACTCAATGTTGCCAGTGATTCGACGGTATTGTTGTTGCGTAACTGCCGGGTAGAGGATGGCCGGGTGTACTGTGCTTTGCTTGCTTTTTCCCCACTTCCGAAACGCGGTAGTTAGGAGGCCGTTCGGAATCTATACTTTCTTCTACTATGTTCCGTTCATTAGTTGGCCGGATAGTTTGGTGAATGATAGCGGCGGTGACGCGCGAATTCTCAATTATTATGTAACGAAGAGTAGTGTCGTGCGATTGCAATTGTATACTACACGTAACGAGCCGATAAATAGGCAGAGAAAGCGAGAAAGAAAGAAAACCAATTCCTTCCTTTCCGGTATCATCTCCCTCGAACACGCTCTCCAGTCGGCTAAATTGATTCCGAGACGTTGAAGGGAACGCGTAGGAAGATGTTGAACGGAGGGAAACGTTGCGTGGCAATTGATGACGGAGCAACGGGCCCGATGCGAACTCACCCCTGTCGAGTAAAAAGAAAAAGAAAACATCGAACCGAAAGTACGACGGCAGTTTCTTTTTGTCGGTAGGCGCCACCGCTTCCGGCGCGGCAGACGCGAACACGGCACAGAGAGTCGGGAAATACGAAAGTGAGATAGAGAGAGAGGCAACAGGAAGTTGGCTGTGGAGAAGCGTACGTTGAAGCAAAAGTTTTACGACGCTTCTGGTTCTGTCGCGTGGTGTCGAGTTCGCGAAGAGCCTAACTTAAAGCTCTCGATGCTTTCGCAGAGATGAGAGACGATGACTGTACTTTGTTTGCGGTAGAACGCTCGATCGGGGAAAGTGGCGTTTCGTCGTTGTTTACTTGTGCGAAAGGTTTGGCTTGTTCTCGCGTGATGCGATCACCGCCGCGTCCAACGATAATTCGCGAGATCGATGCGGCGGCGGCGGCGGCGGCGGCGAGGGCCGACGTTTTGAAGAAGGTGAAAAATAAAAAGTCGGCTAATCGATCGCGGTTTCCTTTTGTTTGTCCGAACGGAAGGCCTAGTCCAGGCGGTGTCGGTGACAACGGTGTCCAAGGAGTACGCGGTAAAGGCCTGCCGCACGTGATCTACTGCCGACTTTGGCGCTGGCCGGATTTGCAGTCGCACCACGAACTAAGGGCGATCGAGCATTGCGAGTACGCGTTCACGCAGAAACGGGACGAAGTCTGCGTCAACCCGTACCATTATCAACGAATACAAACACCAGGTAGGTGTGACACCTTCCGATTTGCCGCGCGATCCGCTGGACCAGCGCGGCGAACGACAAAAGTCGTCGCTTCAATTAGGATAATGAAAGAGCGTGGACATCTTTCTATGCTTCGCTTATACCGTTTTCTGCCTGTCATCAAAGTAAATGGAGACCGATACTTTGCAGTTTTGCCAGCCATTCTCGTGCCACGACATAACTTAGCTGGAGACGAGCCTGTACTTTACAACACTTCCCTCGAAGAGCTCAGCGTTAGCGTGCCAGAAAACACGAGCTTCCACGCAACGTTGAATCATCAGCATCACAATCAACAGAGTATACCGCAGTCACCGCAACAGCAGCAACAACAGCAGCAACAGCAGCAGCAACAACAGCAGCAGCAGCAGCAACAGCAGCAACAACAACAACAACAACAGCAGCCGCAGCAGCAGCAACCGAATAACCCATATCAAGGAATGCAGGTTTGCACCGAACGAACCGATACTTGGTATCCGAGAGAAACGATGATAAAATCAATTAATTTTCCTACAGAGTATGCCTGCAACGAGTCCGGCTAGCGTCGGGAGTCTAGGAAGCGTTCAGGGTTCACCACATCCGGCGCCTGGATCCATGGATCCTCCTGCCGATACACCTCCTCCAGGATATATAAGCGAAGATGGCGATAACATGGATCACAACGACAACATGTCTTTGTCGCGTTTGTCTCCCAGTCCCGTCGATGCACAACCTGTCATGTATTGCGAACCAGCGTTTTGGTGAGCGATAACATATTCTAGAAGTGATATGAATAAACGTTTATACGTGTGTTTTTTTCTTTATTTTACAAGGTGTTCGATAAGTTATTACGAATTAAATACGAGAGTAGGCGAAACGTTTCACGCGTCGCAACCGAGCATAACGGTGGACGGATTCACCGATCCTAGCAACTCTGAACGTTTCTGTCTGGGTTTACTGTCGAACGTTAATCGGAACACCGTCGTCGAACAGACGAGACGACACATCGGTAAAGGAGCTAGACTTTATTACATTGGCGGAGAGGTGTTTGCCGAGTGTTTGTCCGATTCGAGCATTTTTGTACAAAGTCCCAATTGTAATCAACGTTACGGTTGGCATCCAGCTACAGTTTGTAAAATACCACCTGGTAAGTAGTTCCCTTCTCCCCTTTCTTTTTCCCATTCGGTATCGACCTTCGCTTTCATCGCTTTTTTTCTCTCTCCGACGAGTAGGCTGCAATTTGAAGATCTTCAATAACCAGGAGTTCGCGGCACTGTTGTCGCAATCGGTTTCCCAAGGATTCGAAGCGGTATACCAATTGACTCGGATGTGCACGATCAGAATGAGCTTCGTAAAGGGTTGGGGAGCGGCGTATCGTCGGCAAACCGTGACATCGACTCCTTGTTGGATCGAGTTGCATTTAAATGGTCCGTTACAGTGGCTTGATAGGGTACTCACGCAGATGGGATCGCCTCGTTTACCCTGTTCCTCGATGTCATAAGGTTGTATACACTTTTCCTTCACGGATGCGGAAAAACACGAACGATTCGCGTGCTGTCATTGTCGTCGTCGTGTCGTAGATTGGTTCTTTTCGTCGTCGATTAATGTTTCTTATTCGAATTCTCTGCAACCGGTTACAGTGACAGAAAAACAGTGCAAGAAGAAAGATGTACGATTGCCGTTCTCGCGAAGCGCGTACCGTGTATCCTCGCTTCGAAAGTGTTTGTATGGAATACAAACTACCGACTTCGTGCTTGAAGTGCCAGCAGGAAAGAAGGCATTCGATCGGACGGACGAATGGAGATGGAGAAACAGCGTTCGATCGGCTGTAGGAACGCTCTCAAGTGCTCAAGTCGCGATATCTCGTCGACGTTTCGTACGTAAAGAGGAAAAGGTCGATGTACGGGCAAAAGAGTGCAGACACAAAATCGGTTTGCAATAATACACCAGTTGTCACCAGTACAGAAAACCTATTCCCCATTCTTCGATAAACCGGGACATCATGATCGAAAGTACCAACTAATGAAATAAGTAAACATTGTTGATACACACTTATCGCACTCCAGTGTGTTTGTGTGTGTGTGTGTATGTATGTAATGTATGGATGTATGCGCGCGCACGTGCCTGTATGTATGCGTGGGTGGGTGGGTGGTTAGTGCTTTACGATCCAGGGTTATGAATCCGACTTTAACTGAATTAACAAGGCGAAAAGAGAAAACAAGCGTATCCTCTGTGTACATGTATATGTATGTATGTATCTATGTATGTGTATGTATATGTATATGTATATGTATATGTATATGTATATATATATATATATATATGTACATGTACATACGTGTGCGCGTATGTGAGTATCCAGATACGTATGCGCATGTGTATATCTGTACTACGACCGTTGAAAAAAAGCTCAGCCTTTGCATATTTTTATCGCTTGTTAAGTCAACGCACTCCAGTCGTACAGTATACGTCAGCTTTTATAAAACAATACATAATATTATGTACGTTCACACTTTATAGTCTGCTGAGAATTTCTATAGAATGGGTAAAATGTGCGTACCCGTTGCAAAGTTTCTAATACAACAGTGCGCTGGTCTATTCGAAGTTTCTGTCGATGTTTTTCCTACGAATATGGGACGTGTTGAAAGAAATATACGTGTAAAGCCTATAATCTCTTGTATGATAACGGATAAGAAAGGATTATAGTGTTCAATATGTGCGTAAATATTGACACGTTTTGTTCACCTTGCTGCTGCATCCTCGAATGGACCAGAACGTTCGAATATTTTCACTAAGGATCGAAGCATCAGGTACGAATAGTTATGTTTCTGTGTGTTTCCAAGTTTTATGAATGGTTAGTATTGTGAGACGAATCATCCACAGTATACAGTGCAGACTAAGTTTTCAGCGAAAAATCTTTCGATACGGAAATTGAAATGTTGCTACGTATTAAGGTGTCTTATCTTGAATAATTGATATTCTTATTAAGAATAAGCGCTATATTTCTTAACGTTGATAGAAGTACTAAGCGCACGAAGTCTGTGGTAGACAGAAATATCTATTTACTTGATATCGCATGGAACATGAAAACTGATTAATAATTCAGAAAAATTATATACGCGTATACCTATTATCGAATGTCTGAAAATTTATGGGAGGCATAGCAAACGTTAAAGTGCACGTTTTGGTGTTGATGTTCAATGTAGCGAACCACTCGTTAGTTGAGAATCGTTGCAAAAATGTTTGGTTCGTTGTATAGGATCGTGGACAACGTTTCGTGCCAGAAAAATATGTTTTTGTATGGAGAGATGACCGATTTGATTACAAGTAAGCTTTCACAAAATGTAGTTGAAACGTCTTCTGAGATTTTATATGAAAATCACGAATGTACGAGAAGCGCGTAGAATTTTCGAGCGATTACGAGAAGGCTCGGTGGAATGAAAATTTTACCATAGACGAGAGGATGAAAGAAAATAATGGTCTGGCCTTGAATGTGAGATGATGCTTTTAGATATATCGGGTATATTGTTTCTATAATATTTTAAATTTATTTACAAATTGTTTCTGAATCGAGTGTATTAAAAGTTTCTATTTTATTGCAGATTTTATAAGATATTTCATATTCGAGACTAACCGAAACAAAAGAAATACAGTTTTTTAAAAAACTCGAACGTCTTTCACGTAGAACGTATGAAGAAAAACGGGATAACGAAGTTACGTATTTTATTATATTACCAGATATATATTAGTATCGATGTACGGACAGTCTTTGCACCAAGTGCATAGATTCAGTTGTCTTTTTCTTCTTTTTTAACGAATAAATTTTTAAAGATAAACTATACACGACTTCTATGGAGTCTTTATGTACGATATGGGGGCCAATTTTGCACGCACAGTTTGCGAGATTCGATCTCGATAAGAACGTCAAACGTTTCGGAGAACCGGTTCCTCTTTCTATGTATTTTTTCCCCCGGTATCGATCGTATTCCATATTTTTTTTCGATCTTAAATTTTTTAAACAGCCAACAATTGGTTTAACAATTAATCTGTAAAAAACTGTCGAAATTACATCAAGAGAAGGAAATCAGATTGCAAGTTTTCGTTTAATAATTAAGAACACGTCGTCGCGAAATATCGTATTTCCGAAATCTATTTTTTTAAATATTATCTCAATCCTTTCGATGGGAAATGATTCATGTGCTAAGTTTTTATATCCATTATAATGTTTCTCATGAATCGTGCAACCTCTTTTTTTATACGCATTGTGCAGCTTATCACTTTTTATCATTCTGCCATTTCCTTCGTATCTTCTTTTTGCGCAGTACAGATCAAGAGATATAACAATGACCACGATTTGCGAACTTACCAGTCGCTACTTTTTACCGAATCGCGATACCGTATTTCAACAATATTATTTCGTATTACCTATTCTGGAGGAATGTTGCAAGGTGGTCAAGCTCGGGTTAGCAGTTACGGAAGGATATGTCGAAGGAAAACACGAGATTTTAAGTGATACAGATATTTTTTATTGATTCTCATGTAGTGGTATAATTGCGTAGCCTAGGAAGAACGCGTTCGTCTTTTACGAGGTTTTCTTCTTTATTTTTTTTATGAAACATGTACACTTGATACCTTTATTGGTGTACCGTTTTGAAATATCATTCTCGAAATTGCAAGAAATCGTGCACCTTATGAAAGTCGAACGCGCGATATCGTCGGGCAGCTCGAATAATTAAATAGTGGTACAAGAGAGGAATAGCACCTGTTTGTTGCCGACACATAAGATGCGTACCTTCCTAGACACTCGTGCAAATCGGTACTGCCTCGTACAAGAAGATTATTATCGAAGAAAATGAGAGATACGTAAAAAAAATGAAAGCTTCTGATCGTCAACCACTTGACAACCACTCGCCTCCCTGCCAGACTGCCACTAGCGTACTAATTAAGGAAATACGAACAGGGGAACCGAAGAACTCGCCCTCGCCTTTCTTCGTCGTTCTCAAACTCCTACTCGTTCGTTTTACGTTAGCATAAGATCAAAATACATCCACGTCGGTAAAGGAAGAGACAGACCATTGAGAAACGCGTTTTAATTTGCCAAAGTATGTTAAGCGTAGCAATTGCCAAAGTATGTTTTTTTATTTTTTTTTTTTTTTTTTTTTTTTTCTTCTCTTTAAGTACAAGAACGTCGAGTCGACATTAGTCGCGATTCACACGCGCGCATGAATCGTTAAATTATCAGGGTTGTCCCCTCCCTCTTTGTTTCTCTTTTACCTTTGAAAATTCGTAACTGTTACCATTGTTCATCGCACCGTATCGTTGATTATAATCGTTATGTTTTTTCTTCATTTTTTTTTTTTAACTTTTATTTTAGGTGTGTTTAGTGTCTTGACCTGCCGAAGAATCGAGCGGTCCGACGATTATGAATTTTTAATTCTGTAGCTACTTATTACATATATCTTGTGTGCTAATAAACTGCATTTACACAAAGGGAAGGATCGACTAAAGGATAACTTGTAGAAATCCGATATTTTTTTACATACTAAAGATACGTGAAAATTCTTTTACGTGCGATATATTCGATACGATGGTTATAATCTCGTCGATGTTTCCCTGGTGTGGATGAGATCTTTTACAAGAATACGAGAGATGAAATATCGCGAGCTTGAAAGAACGAGTGTGGGAGAATATAGACGAGATGTTGCGACAAGAAATATCGAGTGTGAGACTGTATATTAATTATAAATAAATGTACACGTTAAGTCTAATAAACATGATTCTGTCGCTTTTTATTACTTTATAGCTGCGAGAAAACTATACCTAATGGTTCTCTCTAGAAATCTATGGCTTTAACCTACTTTTAAATGCAAGATAACATTTCGTTCGGAACATTTACGTGCTTAGAGAAGTTGTAAACTCTGCAACAGTCATAATAGCGTATAATTGAAGGGAATAGAGGTTGGGAAAACATAAATATACTAATAAAAATCCATTGACAATTTTACGTGACAGAATTTGTATCATTTCACTACGACAAGAAGAATACAATCTATACAAGCGTTGTACAATGTTGCGCTTAAATATGTGTAGTTTAGTCATCAGCGCCTGTGACTAATGGCAGCAACAATCGCAATAGATCATCAACGGGTTAGTCTTGTATTTAAGAAGCAACATTCTTAAACGAAATTTTAACAAAACAATATTCGCCATACTTAGTTCTTTACAGCATGTTCTTTGATAAACTTTTTTTAAAATCTCTTCTTCCACAAGACGATCTCGTATATTTAACTACATGCAACAACATCGATCAAATTCGTAAAAACTATCGAACATAAGAAACAATTGCTGATTCGTATTATCCAAAAGAAATACCATTAATGCACGTTTGGTATTCTTTGTGTCATGCTCAATTATTCCGAACATGTTTCAAACGTTTTGAATTATTAATTAAAATGCAAAGTGGTATACATTAAATACCGTGTACGTTAATATGTTTCTTTAGAACGGTTCAATGTTTTTGGATAAAATCGATTCTGACGTTAGCTAACATATTAGCATCTTCTTTTACATCGGAAATTAATTATACGAGATTCTTGACATCAGATGTAAAGTACAATCAAAAGAGCACTTCGATTTGGGTAAGGGTCTAACATTCAATGGCGATGTTTATCCGCAAACATGTTACAGAGATGTTTTATTTCTCTCTTTGGAATTGATTTGTTGCTGCTGAATTTAACGAAGTTGTTACAGCCGGCCTGGATGTTCAGAAGTTAGCATCTTCCTCACAGAAAATATGCTCATAGATAGGCCAACAGTTGCAAGGATATATGCTGATTTCGTGATGTTACGTTCCATTCCATTCTTACGAAACACGGTGGAAACAGCTCCCTGGAACGAAGGGCTCTTTTTACATGGGACGATCGAAGCACGGCTTATTACATAACGTTTGTCCTTACGAGAAAAATCTATCTTACCTGCTGGAATGATAATTTGAGAGCATAGAGGGTGGCAGGAGTCAGATACATTTCTAACCGAGGCTTTGCTTCGTACTCTAAAAAAAGGAAAGATCACGTAGATTATGTGTTTCTTATGTAAGACACGGGTTTCAAATGTAAAAACGAATGACATGTAAAATTGGATCATGTCCCAAATTGACGATTATCTTAAACAATTGTGGGATAACGTCGTTTGTCTCAAATGATAAATTTTTATCGCGATTGGTAACGCTTCTTGAATTCGGTTATGTTTTCTTAAAGAATAATAGCGCCAAAACGTTAGTTTATAAAACTTTGTTATTTTTAAAAGTATCCCAATATCGTGGATCTTTTATGTATTATTTCGTATAATTTGTTTTTTCAACAGAAATAAATTTCACTATAAATTTTGAACAGACGAAACTGACTGGATAATATAAATGACATTGAAATTGCATCGATGAGAAGTGACAAACGCGTACGCTTAATTGAAAAATGCTATTGCGCGCCGATCGAGATTTCACACTATTTAACCTACGTAATGCGTTCAACGCAAATGCTTTTGTTTCCGTTTTTACGCAGTTTGCCATGACATTTCATGGAGATTGTATATGCATACGTCGCTGAAGCGTTGCTACGATAATGTAACTATATAATATTGTCGATAATCTTGTTGCCAAAGTTATAATTATGTTGCATTGGGGAATCTTAACGCGCAGCATTAGATAAGTCTTTCCTGGCGCCTTCCAAGAGACTGTAGCACTTGTGTTATTCTGTATTCTAAAATCTTTATGTAACGATATATGATATTTTCAGTTACTGTGACAGATGCATAATACAATTGTATCTAGACCAATAAAATTTTCTCAAGGGTTACACATAAAAGTCACAGTAAATAAAAAAACAAAAAAAAAAAGTTCAACTTATATAAGATCCACATAACCAATTTTATTATATTGTTATAGTGATTTATTAATATTAATGCCTGTGCAGTGGACATACTAAGAAAACGAACTGTGCAGTTCGAGAAAAGCTGTCGAATAATATGTAGTAAATTCGAAGTTCATCGGTTAAAAGGTTGTACTGGCGTATGAACGTGTGGCGGTTTCGTGATCACTTCATTCACGCACGCTTATACCCCATGAAATATATGAAAATAAAAAATTGCACCTTGCAAAGAGAGACTTATTTTTAAGAGTGCAGAGTCTAATTTTACTTGAGCATAAATTTCAGCTAAAGCAATGAGAAAACAAGCTTTCCCTTGTCGGGAAGGAAATGCACTTCGCGGTACGGTTAACCTATAAATTCACGATGGCGTGATTCTCGCCTAGGTAGAAACGGTTAACAGAAAATTAGAGAAAAGTTAAAGACAAAACCATCAATCGTTGATTGTCAGAAAATTAATCAACAATGATTTAAGACAACATTTAAAAAAGGGCAAAACAGTTTAGTTTGTCGTTCAATGCAAATTAAGGGGAAAAAGCAGCGTATTACGTTCTACCACGTTTTTCTATGAGATTAATAACATAATAATAACGTTGTTACACATAATAGAACAGAGGCACTAAAGTTACACTTAATTAAAAGCAAAAATGCATTCGAAGTTAATGTACCTACCGTCCTCTGCGAAACGTGCCGACGAAAGAGATGATCACCGAAAGTGCACGTTCTTCCGCCCCAAGTTGTTTTCACACCACTGCCGATTTTGCTTTTCCGAGTGCCTTTTTACACATGCAGCGCCATCTTTCAATGGTTCGATATACTTACTGCAGCGTTTCCAGAATACGGTACAGAAGCTGTGCGAATTAATATCATATATTGGTACCTGTGTATAAAATTTGTTATTCTCTTTAACAGATGTTGATACATTGTACATTACCGTAATAAAGTATATAAATACATATTAAATACTAATTGAACGTTTACGTAATATGAACATTTTGCGTTATTCTTGTAAAGCAGAATTAAAATTTATCCAACATTTCACTGCTTCAATTATATGTAGTAATTTTATTCCTCTTAAATGACACGTAAAAATAATTATGCTATAGTTACCGTTAGCCGAAACAACGTCTTTGTTCGACTATTACCTTTTTGTTGGTCAAAAGAGTAACTTACTCAGAAAGAATAGTTACCTAATGACGCATGACGTCGTTTTATCTCGGATTCATTTCCGTGGGATGCCACAATATCCTTTCAAAGCGCCAGTACTACAGCTTGCTCGTTTGAAACTAAATCGGCATTAAGAGGGAAACAATGACTCGTTGGACGTTGTACTTTTTTTGGATTCAACTATTTTCGTTGGTTCTTTGCGAATACAAAGATTCGGAGAGTCTTTGCGCATCTCGAGAAACCTGCAGTGATTGTCTACGCACTCCGCGATGTGTTTGGTGTTCTACCAGGGTGATCATTATTTACCGTAACGGTTAACGAAAAGGTTATAACGATTACAATGTAGTAATGGATTATTCACACAGGTGTCCGATCATCAAAATGCGAACGGTCCATTGGTTCGTTGTGTTACCAGAGAAAAACTGTTAAAAGAAGGTGATTACTGGTGTCGAACTTCAGACGTGATAGATGAAGCCAACCGGATGATTATGCTTGAAAATCGAGCGTTATCCTCGACGAAAGGCACGGATCCTGTCCAAGTACAACCTCAAAAAATTCAATTGCGGCTCAGGCGAGGAAAGTATCATTTTTTACCGTCACTGTAAAATTATTTATCTTCGGAGAATATACGGTTCGAATTGGTGCTCTGTTCACAGGCGAAGAATATCGACTGACAGTAAAATACAGTCAAGCAGAGGATTATCAAGTGGATTTATATTATTTGATGGACTTGTCGGCATCTATGGAATCTTACAGAGATCACTTGTCGGAATTGGGAGTTCAGTTGGCGGAAGCCATGCGAAAGCTCACTTCGAATTTTCGTTTAGGATTCGGCAGTTTCGTGGATAAAGTTGTGCTACCGATGACTAATACGCAACTGGAGAAGTATCTTGAAACTTCTACGTTCTCTCTAATATCGCTGCGGTTATTTCCTGATTGGCGACGTAATACTTTTACAGATTAATATCACCGTGTGTTTTGAAGAAAAGTGGGAAACCATGTGCCTCCCCCTATGGATACAAAAATCAGATGCCCCTCACCGAGAATATTACTCTTTTCAAAGTAATCGGGTCTCTCGGTATCGTTTAATATTTGACGCGTTAATATTAACATCCTGATGCTGATCGATTGCTTCCCATGGTAGACTCGCGTGCAAGAGGCACCGGTGTCTGGTAATCTGGACTCGCCCGAGGGTGGTCTCGATGCGATGATGCAGGCTATGGTTTGCACCGAGGAAATTGGTTGGCGACAGAACGCCCGACGTCTTATCATTTTCTCAACCGACGCCAGTTACCATATTGCTGGAGATGGTAAAGTAAGTGAACCATTATACGCGGTACGAACGACGAACGTTACTTTTTGTTCGTTCAAAAGTTAGACACCAGATCACATTTCAGCTAGCAGGAATTATCGAGCCGAACGATTGTCTCTGTCACTTGGACGAACAGGGATTCTATACGTATTCGACTCTGCAAGATTATCCATCTATATCTCAAGTATGCAATTTCTTTTCCTTTTCTTTCTTTTTCTTCTTACTTTCCTCTTTTCGATTGCTTAGGGAAATTGATGGTAAAGGTAAAGTATTGATTTGTATTTTACGATGGAACACAGATCAACAAAGTAGCTCGTGAGCACGACATGAATATTATATTCGCGGTTCCGGGCCACAAGAAAGATACGTATCAATTATTGAGTAGAAGCATCAGTGGCTCCCGTATCGGAATAATAGGGCAAAAGTCTCAAAACGTGGTGGCTCTGGTTAGTGGAGAATACGAGAAACTGGTCAACTGTATAACAATGACGGACAATGCGCCAGATATTATCGACGTGAAGTACTTCTCTCGGTGTTTGGACAAAAATGGCGAATTAACGGAGCGACAAGAATGCGGAGGGCTACGAGTAGGGAATGTCGTCGACTTCGAAGTTGTGCTACAGGTACTCAGATGCGTTGAAATAGGGTCTCTGTTAGATAAATCGAGTAAGTATATTTGTCGAACGTAGGTGACCGAGTGTCCAGAGAATCCTAAAGAATGGCGGAAAAGCATGCAGATCAAACCAAGAGGTATAAACGAGAGCTTAACGATCGAAGTGGAGATTGTATGCGATTGTCCCTGTGAGCGACCAGGATACCCGGTGAGGATAATAATTGAACGCGAAGCTTCTCACGTTCGCCACCTACATTTTTCTAACACGTTCCGAATGAAAATGTAGGGACACACGGCAGCTGCGGAAGATTGCAGAGGGAACGGGTCTCTGGTCTGCGGTATATGTTCCTGCAACGATGGCTTTTACGGGAAGCAGTGCGAATGCGTAGGGAATGCAGACGGGGCTGAGAACGCGGCTGCCATGGTTGACTGTAAGCCTAACAACGAGACCACTGAAACTTGCAGCGGTCGTGGAGTCTGCAAATGCGGCATGTGCGAATGTATAAAACGTTCGAATCCGCAAGAAGTGTTTTACGGGAAATATTGCGATTGCGACAATTTCTCGTGCAAACGCAGCGGAGGATTGGTGAGTGGATCAAGCGAATGAAAAGAGAAGTGGCTTTCGAAGGGTGATGTACGAGGCTACGAGTCTGTCTGCTCGATGGAATTTTCACGGTACGAGTGAAGATGACAGCTAAACGAGCTTTTACGCAGCGTAGAAATTGTGTAATGAACGTATGCACGGGTAGAATTACCGTTTATCGTCGCGTTATCAGTTATGGACCAAAGGTATACATAAGTATATCCATGTCTCGTAAAGTTATTCCGGTGTCGTTTATTCGTGCGGTGAAGTTGCTCGGGTAATTTCCCTTTTAAGGAAACCTGTACAACGCCGTTGTAGAGAAAGACACGGTAGATAAATTATACGCGTTTGCGTGTATTCTATTATTCCGTCTGACGTTGTTTTTGCGTTTTAGGTTTGCGGCGGGCGAGGCAAGTGCGAATGCGGTACTTGCAATTGCCTGCCGGGATGGGGCGGCGAGACGTGTGATTGCAAAGAGACGAACAGTACATGCACACCGATCAACGGCCAAAGTACAGAGATTTGCAGCGGACACGGTGACTGTATTTGCGGTAGCTGTCACTGTCACGAGAAAGACAACATCCGATACTCTGGCCAGTACTGCGAAGAGTGTCCCGTAGGTCTTGGTCTGCTTTATAAAACGCGATCCTTCAACTGTCGTTCGCTACACGTGTACAGAGCACATTCTCACATTTTCAGACATGTCCTGGACAACGATGCGAAGAATTGAAGAACTGCGTGGAGTGTATGGCGTACAATTCCGGGCCTTTGGCTGAAGATGGAAAGTGCGATCAGTGTTTGCACCAGATCGATATCGTGAGTAGATAATTGCATCCTAAGAGGACATCCAACTTGCGTTCATTGGACGGTCGTAAGAAGCTTGTTTGCACTTTTAAACCGGACAGGTGGATAAGGTCGTAGAAGATCTAGAAAAAGATCTAGAGAGTGGAGCTCGTGTTTGTCGAACCCCTGGCGATGCTGGCTGTACGTTTGTATTCAAGTATGAATATTACAGAGGTGGTACCGGGGGAGATATTAAGATATTCAAGATTCAGGCAGAGAAGGAGCGGACCTGTTCTGTACCTATTAACGCCCTCGGTAAGCGCAGCGTGTCAAAACGAGCACAATGTTCTACCACAAATGTATTTCGATGTTTGGATCGTAGGTGTTGCTGTGGGACTAATAGTTAGCACTGTGATTATCGGTTTGCTGATCCTTCTTATTTGGAAAATATTAACAAGTATCCACGACAAGCGGGAATACGCGAAATTCGAGCGAGAGCGTGTACTGGCTAAATGGGACAGGGTAAATATTTCACTTCTCGTTGCACTCCGTATAGATAAATTCGTTTTATTAATACGATAACGAACAATTTAGGGGGATAATCCACTTTATAAACAAGCTACGACGACGTTCAGCAATCCAATGTACAACGAAAATCCTGATGTACACGAAAACGACGATTGTAATTAAAATGAATATTGGCGTGCGAAATACTGTCCCAGGAATAATTTAATCCTATTGGAAGGCAGGCGATCCGACAGGTAGCGCCACCATAAGCGAACCGACAATGAGAACGACGACGACGCCATGTTGGTTAATTGCTTTGTGAGAAGATAACGTGCTGGTTGATGAGAAGAGGCGTTTATCCTTCGAATCTTTTGGAAAACCACTTCTGTCCACTTTCATTCCTGCATTCCTTCCTCGTAAGTGAATACACATCCATTTTATCCCATTCTTCCTTTCGAATCTCTCGCGAAACTCGTGCGATATTTACTTTGGCTACTTGTCACACGTCGGATACACCATTACGTGCGCTCGTTTTGCGCCCGTTAATTTGCGCGGTTAAAAGAAATCCTAACCTAGCATATTTCGCGAAATTCTTGTACGAGGAAGTAGAACGAACGCGCTATCGAGACAGCTGGAAAGAAGACGAAGGTCGATAAGCGATCACTCGTAAATCAATTTTAAATTTGATCGGAGAATTTCGCGTGGACATAGGTCCTGGCCTCTCGGTCGATTGTTTCGAATATCCTCTGGCCTCGTACTTTATTGCTCGCTATGCCTGAAGAAGGCAGCCTCGTAAGGAGCTCGTAAATTCGTCACCACGGTCGGCTCCTGCTGCAAAACCCTGCGGCGTCTCCTCGCTGTATTTCCCACCAGAAACCTAAAGGTTCACCCACATTGAATCCGCCCATACCACTTGATTACTCGTCCATGATTATTACCGTCTCGGTCTCCATTACACCGATCCTCGTGATTTACGCATAAACACCTGTTACGGAATATTAGTTGATCTGGTCGTCTTGGAGAATGTGCAATTTCATTTCCGTATACCTGATCTACTTTTTGCTCGTCTCTAATCGCGTTAAACGAGCTTATTTCTCAACGTCGAGAAATTACCAGCCGTTTAATTATTCTATTAAGGCCGCTCCTCGATTTGGCGAACGGTGCGAGTCGAACGGACGAAATTTCGGGCGGTGTGTAATCGGGCCTTAAGGATAGCTGAGAAAAACAGTCGGAGGAAGGAGAGAATAGCAGAGTCGGCGCTCCGCATACTAAATCATTGCCGCACGTCCGTTTCTTTACATTGCACAGATTTTATTGATTATTTTACGGCCGGGAACATTGTAAATCTCTTCATCCTGTATCGGCGTCTCACCTCGCTCCCTGCCACTCTCCGAGAACCTCACATCGGGTGCCCATGGCGCCAATTACGCGAGTCGAACGGTATTGTTGTCGCATTCGTTCTGATCTGTCAGCCACGAGCATTCTCCCCGAGCTAACGATAACTTTTTACGTCTACCGTGCTGCCCGACAAACCTTTATGGAATTTTAATCGTTCCGCTGTTACCGCCGCGACGAGGGTTAAGCTTACATCTGCAACGATAGAGAGAAACGTTCCTTTTTGTATCCAAAGAGCAGACTTTGCAGAGCAAACAAAGTTAGGAGAGGAGAACGAATAAGGATAAGACAAGATCTTTGCGCAATTTGATATACATACGCGTCAAACGCGGCACGGCACGGCACGGCTCGGCT